AGACAGAGGTGCACTTCCTACTGCACTGTGACAGATACTCTGGGTTAGAAACATTCTTCCCTAAACTCAGAAATCTAGTCCCAGAGTCCCCACACATGCCAGAATCACGTGTCCCAATCTTACTGGGAGAGCAATGAGGGAAATCAGTTAAACTGGCAGCCCAGTATCTGATCTCCTGTCACAGCCTGAGGAACAGGGAGTCTGTCTCCCTATAATGCTACTTCTGTCTACAGTATATGTAAATATTTTATAATATGTCATTGTTGTAAATGTCTGTAGATTTTATATTAAGCTTATTTTTTTTGTTTCATGTGAATTCCATTATTTTTATTTGCTTTGGCAACACTGATTGTACCCATCGGTCATGCTAATAAAGCACCTTGAACTGAATTGACTCCTTCAGCAGGGCTCCCCCTAGTGGTCCCTGAGAGAACAGAGCTCACACTGGCCTGCAGGAGAAGCCTCTCTCCTGTACTGAGAGGTAAACTCGATCCCAACGACCGGGGCATCTGTGTGAACAGTAACATGGGGAAGGTATTCTACAGTATCCTGAACACACGAATACTGGCCTTCCTTACCGAACACAATGTCCTGAGCAAGAGTCAGATTGGCTTCTTACCAGATCACCGCACATCTGATCAGATTTACACCCTACACACACACTGACAGACAAACATGTCCACCAAAAAGATGAAGGAAAACTGGACAAGACCAGAGTCATGGTTTTCAAAAAGAAAGCCAGACCTCAGGGAAACAGGTACAAATTCACACTGAACAACACATTGGAGCACACATCCAGCTACACATATCTCGGTCTCACCATCAGCTCATCTGGGAGTTTTGACCTGGCAGTGAAGGCACTGAGGGAGAAGGCACTCAGGGCTTTCTACACAATAAGAAGGAGGCTCTTCAACATCAACCCACCAACAAGAATCTGGCTCAACAAAAAAAGTCTGATGGTTTAAGTCTGGATTAGAAGGCATTGATGATACATGACTGATATCATTGGGGAAAGAATGCCAGAGCTTTGGGGCACAGCAGAAGCTCCTGTCACCCAGTGTGTGAACAAGCTTTGAGGACAAACAGGACACCAGTCAGACCAATGAAGGCTGCAAGACGAGAAGGATAACTCACAGGTACTGAGGTGCTATTAAGAGCCTCCTAGATGAGGAATTTAAAGTCAACATGAAACCTGACAGGAAACCAGTGCAAGAACTCCAGGACAGGAGTAATGCCCTAGACCTGGTCAGGGGTCAGGCTGCTGAGTTCTGGACAGACTGGAGTTTGTTCAGTGTGGAGTTAGACACCCCCAAGAGTAGGGCAGTGCATCAATCTGAGAGACGACGAGAGGGTTGAGCAGCTTTCCTGCACCAGCCAGAGACATCGCAGGAGATGCTCTGATGCTCCACAGCATCACTGACCTGCTACAGTCAGAGACATTACTGGATATCCATACGCTGGTACTATTTCTGAGGTGGAGGAATTTTTCCTGTTTTTACAATGTTTTGCATCTGTGGGTCAAACATCGGGCCTGGACCAAATATCACCCCCAAAGTCTTCAACTTGGATTGAAATTCAAGTACAGTACCACAGGGGCTGGGTCTCTGCCCTGGCTTTAATCAGAGTAACTGCAGAAGGATTAATGAGTTCCTCGCTCCCCCACAGGGGGGCGCCTCTCAGACCCGCAGCCCCAGACCTCACTGCGCAGGGCCCCGAGTGGCTGCAGGCCGCGAGGCTTTGAGCCCACTGAGGAGCTGCGGGGGCCCTGTACCCCTGAAACTGCCTCCCGGGGGGGCTCTGCAGGCCCAGTGGTTGAGACCCACTTCTACCTGGCCTGGCAAACTAAGAGGCCATGTGAGACCCCTGCAAGAGCACAGCGGCCCCCAGGGAGGCTGGGGCGCTGACCCCAGGTCAACAGGTCAAGTCTTAAAGGAAGTGCAAAATTCTTTATTTTTTACAAAACTCTTTACCATGTATATGTATACAGTAACAGTATATAACAGTAATAGGACTGACTGAGGAGTATTTTTACCAGAAAGGGAAAGTGAGACATTCAAAGTAAAACATCTAAAACAACCACAACTTTATTACATCACCCTGGAAAAGCTCCCAGCTCCCGGCTCTTGCGGGGCCGGGGGGTGGGGGGCGGGCGGCACTCAGAAGTGCTTGGCGCCCCCCTGTGGCGGGGAGTGCCACACGGCAGAGCTGGTGCGCTTGAAGTAGCGCGGCTTGCTCTTGTAGAAGATGTCCTGCAGCTCGGGAGGCTCGATCTCGCCGAAGTGCGAGTCCACATCGATGGGGTTGAAGTACTGCTGCAGGATGGCCTGCTGCAGCTGGGGGCCTAGAAACACGGGTGCGAGAGTTAGGTCACCTGTCCACACGGCTCTAGGAAGCCGCACAGGACAGGCAGAGTGACCCCCGAGCCTGAACCTGTGTTCATTTAGTCACCAGTGTTTGATTTCATCAGTCTTAGTCAAGTCACCTACAGTGTCCATTAGTCAGGGGGCCCTGTACCCCTGAAACTGCCTCATGCAGCTACATTGAGCTGATCTTCAGTACTGTTTTACAATCCTTTCCTGCTGTGCTAGACCCATCTAAAGTACTGTCAGACAAAAGCATGGAGAACCACAAGAATTTCCTGCGGCTTTTCTGTAAAAAACAGCGAGGTGCTCTAGTTTAAATATTAATGTTATTAGCACAGCGTATGCATCTCCTTGTTCATCTGCGTACCAACCAATCAATTACCACTGAGACTTCATGCACGAGGCGTGGAGAAGCCGGGCCGGAAACGAGGACATTTGGAAGCAGACTGGCGACTGTCCCCCAGGAGCGGCCCGTCCCGGGACCGGACCTGCTGCAGCCAGCCCGCTGGCTCTCACGTGCAAACTGTAAACCTCACGTGACTAAACCCATTCCAGTTTGAGCTTCTGTCAGACAGGTCATTTTGTCTCTTCACTCAAACAAAGATGCAAAACAATTCAGTGTTCGCCATCATTGTTGTGGATTTTCGTGAGCATTTCGTCTTTAATGAAAATAAAAGACAGGTCGCTGACGAACATCTTCAGTGACTCAATGAACGGCGGCCTGCGCACCCCACAGCCCTGTGTACACTCACCCTCAGCCCAGGAGGGGATGGGCTTCCGCGGCGCCCCCTCGTCATCCGTCGAGTCATCGCTGTTCTGGTCCATCCCATAATCTTCAGGGTTGCTCGACGCCACCGTCCGGTTCTCTCCCTTGGGGGTGATCTGGTAGGACTGGGGGGACTTCTGTGGAGAGCAAGGAGCCGACGTGAGGAGCGGAGTGGGCGGGAGGGAGCTGGGGGACGGGGGGGAGCAGGACCAGCAGCAGCTGTACCTCGATGTCCACGGTCACGTTGAGCAAGACGCCGGTGCTCTTGGGGCTCTGGGGGCTCCTGGGCGCGGCGGGCTAGAGAGGACAGCAGGGAGAGGCAGGAGTGAGAGCTGGCAGATGGGCGGCGGCAGACAGAGCAGAACCCCTCACCATGCTGCTGGCCTACCTGGGGCTTGGAGTCCGCGCTGTCAACAGGGGGCGCTGGCTGAGGCTCCACTGGGGGGGGCTGCAACACAGGGAGGAGGGGTGAGGAGCTTGACAGGGGGAGGAGGGGCGAGGAGCCAGACAGCAGCGGCAGAGTCGGCTTACCTTCACCTCCACAGTGACGGTGAGCGCTTTGGCAGCCGCCTGCCTCTGCAGCTCCGCCTGCCTCTGCAGCTCCGCCTGCTGGCAAGACCACAGCGTTACAGCCTGGCCGCTACAGCCCCTACAGTCTTTCAGGAGAGCTCATGTTAGCGCCTCAGTCATGTCCAATACCTGCCGCCTCTTCTCCTCGGCCTCTCGCAGCTGCTTCTCCTGGGCCGCCCGGGCCAGCTCCCTCTGCAGCACCAGCGCCTTCTCCTTCTCCACTCGCTCCCTGGAAGGGCAGAGGGAGATGAAGACCTCCATCGCCGCTCGCAGTGCCCCCCCCGCACTGCTGCCCCAACATACAGCTCACCTCTCGGCCTCAGCCAGGCGCTGCGCTCGCTGCTCCTCCTCCTCCTGCTGCTGCTGCTGCCTGCGGGCCTGCAGCTCCTGGAGAACAGCGACCAGTCACCTAGAGCCGACCGGCACAGCCCCACACACACACGGACCACAGTCACCTAGAGCCGACCGGCACAGCCCCCCACACACACACGGACCAC